GTGTGTGTGTGTGTGTGGTTTACTTGCATGTGTGTACAAGTACATGTGCCTATGCACGTGCGGAGGCCAGAGAAGGATGTAAGATGTCTGCCTTTATCCCTCTCCACCTATTCTTTAGAAGCAGAGTCTCTTATTGAATGTGAAACTAATACTGATTTTTCCAAAACTGAAAGCAAGAAGGTCCCAGTGCTTGACCTGGGGTGTTTATTACATGGAGGCTGGGGTTGTAATATCAGTCTCCACGCTTGCAGACAAACACTCTTAACCACTGAGCTGTCTCTTCAGCTCCATATTTTACTATTTAAGTTGCTGTTCATCTGTAGTAACCAGCTGTGCTATCAGGCTGAGGCAGCATGGTCAGGAGGCCAAGGTGCTAGATTTCAAGATCACATCTTCAGTTTCCAACGGCATCACTTAGCAATCACATGACTTTTGACAAGTTCTTAACCTTTTTATGCTTCCATTTTTCTCTTTTTTTCTTTTTTTTTATATTCGAGACAGGGTTTCTCTGTGGCTTTTGGTTCCTGTCTTGGAACTAGCTCTTCTAGACCAGGCTGACCTCGAACTCACAGAGATCTGCTTGCTGCTGCTTCCTGAATCCTGGGATTAAAGGCGTGCACCACAACCGCCTGACCTTTATGCTTCCATTTTCTCAAACATAAGACCCGCCATGATGTGAGCCTTGATGAAAGGTAATGTGATATTGATCAAAATCAGGAAGTCAAAATTACCTGTTGCCTTCGTACTGCTCTCTGAAACGTTCACATTGCATTTTTCGACTGTTGCTTTCGTCTTGTTCTCTTGAACGCCTTTTCCTACTGGCGTATTTTGTAATAACGGTAGATAGAAAACATAGGAAGAAGGTGAAATGTACATTCTACATACAATAGAATCGATATTATATCTATCACTTCAGGAAACGAAGTCAACTCAACAAGCTTGAGTATGGACAGGAGACAATGTATTAGCGACGTGTTAACAGGGGACCACTTTGGAGACAGAGCAAATAGAGAACCAGAAGAGCACAGAACACACAGGTTCACACTGCTGTTGGTTACACCACATCTAAATGTTGTAGGGAGCAGAGCCTCTTGTTCCTGCTGCCCGGCCAGCTTCTAAGGGCATTGTGAAGCGCGTGCACCTCTCCCACCTCTGAACTTCATCCCTGTGGTGTGAGGATGCTCACACCCACACCAAGCATAAGGTTGCTGGCTATCTTCTGGAGTTCGGCAGACACCTAATAAACTCATATGTAGGCATTGTGGTTTTCATTGTTATTGTTATCTTGTCACACTTGTGACTTTTTTTAGAGTTCTATGTGCACATGCGTCATCTCCATAGTGATTCTCCAAAACAGGAGAAATGCAAAAGGGGATATTGTCCTGTAACTGCCCGTCATTGTTCCTCTCCCAGGCTCAAGGTGGCCAGCTCATGTGAAGAAACCAAAATACTTATGGTGGAACTAGAGGAAGATTTTGTTTTGTTTTGTTTTTCAAGGCATGGTTTCTCTGTGTAGCCTTAGCTGTCTTGGCACTCGCTCTGTAGACCAGGCTGGCCTATGAACTCACAAAGATCTTCCTACCTCTGCCTCCAGAATGCTGGGATTAAAGTCCTGTGTCACCACTGCCAGGCTAGAGAGAGAATTCTAAGGTAAAAGCTTTTGTCTCACTTACCTAAGACACCGAGACCAATCACAGTCAGGACAAGAAGGATCAACCCAACACAGCTGAGTTTCAGAGCCAACCGATGCCAGCGTGGGCATCGGCAGCTGTCTGAGAAGTTAAAGAAAACACACTTTTAATCTAGTTGAGAGTGTTTGCAATCAAGGAGGTAGTTTGACCAAAATGAACAATTGGATTCATGTTGAGGGTGGGGTGCAGAAAAGAGCCTTTCTTAGCCTCCTTACTACGAATTCCACAATTGGGTCAAATGGTTGATAGGAAGGTCAAACTTAATTGATGAAGAAGATGTCTAGAAAATTGCTGAGTGAGTGTTGTACAAAAGTAAAGTATGTGTTCTGCTATGGGAATGAGCCAGCAATTCCTTCAAGAAGGAGTATCTTCATTTATATGAAGTACACACACACACACACACACACACACACACACACACACCCCTCAGTTTTGTGCTAGGTACCACCTTTGCACTGGTGATGTATAGCAATTCTATTATTTAACATGGGGCCTGCTTCACTGTTGTCTGTAATGATCTTCTCCATCTTGGAATAAAGTTTAGGTACCTGTACGGTTTGTTTGTTCTGGACAGTGTTTCAATATGCTGCCCTGGCTGGTCTGGAACTCTAAGCAGACCCCAGTGGCCTTGGCTGCCGTCTTGTTTCCAGGATTTTAACTACATTATTCTCCACTTATCTGCACAGGTCGAGCTCTCCAACTCTTAATGGAGAGCTGAACTGTGGTTAGACGCCATCTCTATGAATATTGCTTCACACATGCAAACACAATGGAGTTTTCCATCTTAACTGAGGACATGCTGTGCCTTTCACAGCTTGCTATGTACTCGAAAAATCTGTTTTATTTTTCTCTTTTTCCCTTCCCTTAAATGGAGTGTTTCCACCTTTTCATGTAAAGGAAGTAAGTGTGGCTTCTCTTTGAGGCAGGAGTGTTGCCAGCGTTCAGAGAGTTCACAACTTGAGGCCAGTATTCAATATAATGAGAGGTATTTGAGCACTAGGCTGGGTGATTGGCAGGCTATACTATTCAGGGTTACCTAGGGTCACAGAATTTACAGAATGAATCTCTCTCTCTCTCTCCAGATATATATGAATTCACTGGGAGGACAATGGCTATGAATGGAGAGCTCGACTCTAGCAGCTGCTGAGTCCAGCAAGGCTGGTGTCTCAGCTGCTCTGCTGGGATCTCAAAGAAGGAGATGAATGTGCTGGTGGGGGTGGGGGCCAGCAGGTGAAGACACCCTTCCCCCACCATCCTTCTTCCATTGTCCTTCTATGGGCTTCCAACAGAAGGTGTGGCCCAGATTAAAGGTGTGCCTTCCAGTCTCCAGGTCTGAATTAAAGGCATGTGTCATCCAGCCTTAAGGGCCAGATGTCTTCCTGCCCTAACATCTGGATCACAAACGTGCCCTCATTTCTGGATTAGTTCACTGCAGACATAAGTTGACAACCAAGAAGAGCCGTGACGAAGGTGGTGAGGAGTGACTCATGCCTTGACCAAGACGGTGGGAGAGCTCACTGTGCTCTACACAACAATGTCCAGCTCAAGACACAGAGTTACTTCTTCCTGGAATTTTCTATTCAATCATTGGATTAATATTTATCAATTTGTTGACTACAAATTATGCAAGTGCACCAGATTGAAACGGTTGATAAAGGGGGTTCTGTGCTATAACACATGCATATACAATACTGCATCAGTGAAATACCAGGTCCTGTATCTGTGCTTTTCTTGGTGACCATAGCAGTTACTACACAATAAATATCTTATGTATATCAGAAGTTCAAATACATCAAGTTATAAATGTGTTCATAAAGTATCATGATTTGGACAGTATCTTTTGACTTTAGACAACTTTAAAAGCATGGGTGTCATATGAAACATAGTAACAATCGTTTTGGTTTATTTATGAAAATACTGTGGAGAACCATTAGCTAGCTTCTATCACTCTAATTTAATTAAAATACCAGATAGCTGTTATTTGCTCTCTAGCATCTACATTTATAATGTTCTTATAAATTCTAAGAAAACTTTACTAGTTGCCTTTTTACTGTACTTTATAGGGTGTCCTGTCGTCCATGTTGACCTCTAACTCTGCCTTGTTGAGAATGGCCTTGAACTCCTGATATTCTGCCTCCACCTCCCAGGTTCTGGTTGGTATCATAGTTATGAACCACATACCTGCCTAAGATTTCCTTATTTTTACAAAGTACTTTTTGATTTATGATTTACATATATTTCCTGTTGGCTTTATATCTTTCTACATATTAATATAATTGTAATATAAATGTTAATGTAAATGAATACATGTTTTGAGTTCATGTTAAATGTTTAGAATCAGATGTGCTGTTATTTATTATATTGTCTTTTATTATTCATTGTATTTTCCAGAATTGTTTATATATCCAATTCTACCTCTTCTAGATATATTTTATTTTATTTTATTTTCCATTGTCCCAGACAACTGAACAGTTTAACCCAGACTGACGACAAGGACGAACTGTCTCTAGTCTCTAGACCAGCATTGAGACAGGACAGTCACTTAGATGAGTTAGTTCCTTTTCAAACTTTCCTCTGGAGAAAGAATAAAAGGAAGGGGTGAAGAGAGAGAGAAGAACAAAGGTGTTCCAGAAGAGACACAGACAGTGTAACATGTGTTTGGAGTGGTATCTGTAGACCCAGCTAGCTACAGACGGAGATAGTCACACACAGAAGGCTGCTTCTGTGTGGAAAGCACATTTCCTTTCTCCATCTTTAGTCTCTAACAAATACTCCACAGCAGCCATTCCCATGGTTCTGAAAGCATCCTCGGTGCTGTCAGTATCTACAGATTACCTGAAGTACGCAGCAATATGCAAGCAGGTTATTTATAAGGACTACATTTTGTGTAAAGGACCAGCATGCATGCAGAGGTCTGGAAGCAACCTTCTGTGGACAGTGAGCAGGGCTGTATGGAGAGAGGTAACGGAGCTGTCATGGAAGGAAGCAGTGTGTTAGACTTGAGGATACGGCCAGTGGTTTACCACTGCTGCTGTGTAGGTCGTGAGTGTCCTGGACAGGAGGCAGGGCTGTAGGCAACAATATTTCTAAATTCCTGAGCATAGCATCTGGCCTGTGGTAACTGGCAATAAATATTGTTTCCTTCCTTCCTTCCTTCCTTCCTTCCTTCCTTCCTTCCTTCCTTCCTTCCTTCCTTTCTTTTTTCCAAAAAGTGAGGTTTTTGTTTTTGTTTTAATTATAGGTAAAAAGCCACTTAGGTGACTTTTAAAAAAATCTTTATCCATTCATGACAAAATTTAAAGAGCTCCTGTCCTCCCCGTACTCTCTGTTCTACTATTGGAGTTACATACAGAAGAGGCTATGCAAACACTGGCTATGCAGCAGTACCTGCTTTGGTACCCACAGAATGCTAAGTCATGTCCACTGTTCCAGGCATTTCCATGGCTTTCCCCTCAACATCTGGACCTATGGAATGCCCTCCAAATCCCTCCACTGGTCACCATTCCTCCTGGTTTGATCTCCACAGCACACGGGGCATGCATGTTCCCCACATCGCAGTCCTGTTCTCCCTCTGCATTTGCTGGTGCAGCTGCCTAGAAGGCTCCTCTCTCAGATACTCAGCCTTGGTCTCCAGAGACTTCCAGGACTTGAGGCCAGCGTCATCTCTCAGAAAGCCCTGCCTTGATCACTCTGCTTGACAGGATGCCATCTCTAATGGCAAAAATCTTAATTTCCATTTAAATGCTTTCTCAGCGACATTCAAAATCGCACTGTCTGACACAGGTGTTTATATCACTGATTTAAACCTTCACAGTAATATAAAATCTACAGGGAGAAAGATGTTTTCCTGTTTCTTCCTGGCTGTTTCCCCAGTGTCTAGAGCAATGTTTGTCTCATAGTAATTGGTTATTTCTGAGTGAATAAATAAACCCCAGAGGCATTTTTACTTATGACAATTACATTTTTACATGACCATCGAACCATCAAAACAAACCTTTGGCCATTTGACCACAAACAAAATAGGTCAGTACTAATGTCCCCCTTTCCGGTTCTCTTTGCTGGCAGATCTAATCACCGTGCTTCGAATATAGCATGGTGTGAGCTCTTTAGCTAAATGCGTCCCAGTGGTTTCACAGTTATGCTTCTGCTTCAACATTTTCTATTCGAACGCTATGTTCTGTTTCTATTCTACTATTGTTTGTTTTGTTTTTCTTCAGTTTTAGTCCAAGATTATTGAAGTTTAAAATAATGGGTTTTTTTTCCCTAGAAATTTTTTTTTTCTAGATACGTTTTTCCTAGTCTTCTTGACTTGGGATATTAGACAGTAGAGTTTGAGAAGAGCCTCCTCATCTTTCTATATATTCATTTTCTTACACTCTTCCTCCACTTTTGCTAGACATGAGGGGAAAACCAATACCTGCTTTTTCACAACAACAACAACAAAAACTGGTGCTATGAATTCCCCCTACACTTATCAAAACAGAAATTCCCTCCACTTTCTGTTCACCCTATGTAAACATTATAATGAAGCTTATTTGCTGACTCGAAGACTTTCTTCTTGACTCAGACCATTGGCAAAGTACACAATTCTAACAAGAAGCTCTGGAGTTGGAAGTCCACGTGTCATAACACATAGAATCGTCATATTGGAAAGCAACTGCTTTAAGACAGATGTCAGTGCGTTCAGTTAGCCAGCAGAACGGAATAGTGTGTCATGATCATTTTATAGACTTTCTGCCTGAGCTTCTGGCCTCTTACATCTCAGCCATCCTCAGGTCCTGTGCTTCATCTGAGCAACCTTCCACCTTTCTTTACCTCCTATCACTAAATCCTCTGGTAGATTAGAGTGCTACTTTCAGTCAGTGTTGAAAGGTTAATTCCTGACTGGCTTTGGTACCTTGTGTG